TTCTGATAGTGGTCTTCTGATGATGACATAGATCAATTTTCCTTCTTCCTTTCCCTCTAAAAGTCCTCATTCTCTTCTCTTTCTACCTTCTGACCTAATTCCTTTGTCATCTCCATTTTCTTTATCCCCTTGTTTTTCCAATCCTGAGGCATTTACAAAATGATAAAAATTCTAAGATGTTATCACTAGGGGTTTTTTTCCTCTTGTAAAATATTTAAATTATTCCCATTGACATTTTTGGTGGGGGGGGGGAACCTTTTAATTAAACAAAGAAAAAAACCCTTCTGTTTCAGAAAAAAACCATAATAAAACTTTGAGCGAAATCTGGTGAAAACTGAAAAGAAAGAAAAAAACTTTTTGTATTTTGGGGCCTCAAAGAAACGGAATATTTTTGAGCCAAGCAGACACTTTGCACAACAATTTATATTTTGTCAAAACCCCAGTTTTCCACCAAAAAATTTCCACAAGTCCTAGCCAGAAGCCCTTAATAGTGTGCAGCTGTCTAATGTCAGCTTCATGGAACTGGTGAAGTTAAGCTTGCTTTCAGATTGTGAGACTGAGCTTGGTAGTGATGGCAACAACTTTTCCAGCATCATTGACCAGAATAATAGGAGATGGTTGTTCTGAAAATGAGGGGAAAAGGAACCTGAGGACAGGGAGGAAACAGAGCCAGGTACAGGGCAGCTCAAGAATTGAAGGGTTTCTTGTGTTTGAATGCATTTTTGATAGACACATTTCTGCCACCAGCAGGGTTTTCTCAGGATGATGGAGGGCTCTTGAAATTCTGCTCACAGAAGGGAGGTTACTCCATCTCAGGCAATTTCCTTTTCTGATGAGAATTACAGGCTTGTCTGGTAAGCAGAGTGAATATCATGGCTCTAACCTTACCACTTTGGGTTGTGTCCTTTTAACTTATCACAAGTGGAGCAGCATCCAGTCTAATGTTATTTATGATAATGCCCACACTGTGCCAGGTACATGCCAATCACTGGGGAAAAAGGAGGAGTAGTCCCTGCTTTGAGGAGCTCATAAAGATAGACAAGGCAGTAGAGGTCAGGGGGCAGGAGAACCTCAATGGGTCATTCATGGTAAGCAGTGCAACTGAAATAGGTTTCAAGGAGGTCATACATCTGGAGAGGTAGGAGCTACGTGTTTAAGCACAGGGAAGTTGTGCTGTACCAAGAAGATGCTGCATAGGAGAAAGCACAGGCCTGATTGCATAAGAAGTGGCTATACGGTCAGATAATACCTAAGTAGTTTGTCTTGCATAGTTGGGAGACCTCAAGAGAACATTCCAGGGTTCTGCAAGAAGTGCCAGGGGTGATCTCCCCTTAGAGTGAGAAATGGACCATGGCCCTGCCATGTGAAGGTGCTGTTGAAATAGCTCCTTTTCAGATGAGCTGAAACATGGAGCACTCTGATCACTCCCTATGAGCTCTAAAGGTCATATGTTGTTCAATTGAGCAAGGTCATTGCCACAGCAGTGTGTCCCAATGATATTTTGATTTGGACTATGTTAGCATCCTATGAGAGAGATGCAACGTATTTGCCAGTACTACCTATGAGAGAGATGCAATGTATTTGCCAGTACTACTATATAGGCCAGTTTTAAATGGCTGAACTGCTTCCTTTGAGAAGCTTTTCCACAGTCTAAGGTGTCATGCTGTCAGCAAATGGTCTCTAATTACTGAGTGGGACAATGAGATGCCTCTTTCCACTGCCATACACCCATAACTTGATGGGAAGAGGCCCAGTGCCTGTGTCTGAAATGTGAATCCTTCATGTCTGTCTTGCAGATGGAACTCCTGAAGGTCCTGCCATGGCGCCGTGCTTTCCTAGCAGTAGCCCTGAACTTGCTGGCTCTCAGCCTCTCCACCACGGCCTTGCTTAGCAGCTACTGGTGTGTTGGGACCCAGAAAGTGCCCAAACCTTTGTGTGGAAAGGGCAAAGCTACCAAGTGCATTGGTGTCCATGTGTCTGCTGATGGAGGATCTAACAACTCTTCATCCCAGGATGTGGTGCACTATAGCTGGGAGACCGGGGATGACCGCTTTGCCTTCCAATACTTCCACACTGGCATGTGGCTTTCCTGTGAGGAGAACATGGAAGGGCCAGGTAGTGTCTCCTTGTTCTTATTTACTCAATGAGTTAAGTAACAATGAAGAATGCCAGACTGGCAGCAGGAGGGAACAACATTTTCTTCATAGCCTGGACCAGGTAGGGTAGCCTTACCAATATGCTCTATCCCTCATTTAGAGGTTGGAAAGGGGGCAGTTGTTTTCAATACCCCATTCGATATGTGCCTGCTAACAAAAGGGCTGCTGAGTGCTACTTGCAGTGAGGTCGTCATCTGCCCTTGTAGGAACTGGAGGACCCCCACACTTCATTTCACATTCTCTTGGGAACAGATGCTGGGCCTCCTGACACAGGGGACAGCTTCATGCAGTGTTGCCAGCTCTTGCAGTTTTCATTGTAAGTACCAAATATTTGAGGCTTTTTTTAAAGCTCTGAGACCCTGAAGTTGTGTGACTACAAGAGATTCTCAAGCTCTCATTTGAAAGAAATGTCGTAGAGAAAAGCTTAAGCAAATGAAAACTAGAAAGCAAATTAGCAGATAGATCATCTTCATTTTCTAAACAATCATATGATTTCTTGAGGGAGCAGACTTGTGATTTTTGAAGACTTGGGGTAGCAATGTTCTTTATGCCACCTTTGTAGTAGCATTGTGCCCATACTGGGAGCCACTGTTTCCCCCCCTTGCACCCTTCCTCTACCCCTAGTGGCTAATGCACAGTCATAGAGTCATAGAGAAGTAGGGTTGGAAGGGACGTCCAGGGATCATGTAATCCAACCCACTGCGTGAGGCAGGATCATCCCTATCCAAACCATCCCATACAGCCATAATCTAAACTCTACATAAGACTACCCTCAACCCTGACACAACATAGGGCTAATACCCTAACCTGTCACAGGTAAAGCAGGGGAACTGTAGCAGCTAATGTCCTGCTTCTATAAAATATTGTCAATATACACTCAAGAGATCCCAGGCAGAGGGCCATGCCTCCTGCTACAGAGGAAGGCAAAAACCCCCACGGTCCATAACAGCCTGACCATAGCATAAAATCCCTTCCTGATCCCAAATATGGCAGTTGTTCTGATCTTGAGTGGAGGGGAAAGACCCTCTGGCCAGGAACCTCTTGTTTTGCTCCTAGTAGAAAAATTAGCACGCAACAGTTGAAGTCCCCATCCTAACACCCAGTGCCTCTGGGGATGCTTAAAAACACATATAGCAGGTGGGGAGAAGCAAGGTGGGGGTGCATGCAACGGAGCAACCAGCAAGGCGTAGAAACATGGGAAATACTCATGGTAGAAAACAGGCATAGCTATACCTAAATCATCCCCAACCAATGGCTATCCAACCTCTTCTTGAACACCTCCAGTGATGGATGGTCCACAGCTTCCCTAGGCAGTCTATTTTACTGACTCACTATTCTCACAGTGGGGAAGTTTTTCTGGATATCCAATCTAAACTAACTTTGCTGTAACTTCAAGCCATTGGTCCACTGCAGCAAGAGAGAGAAAAGGTGCCTTCCCTCTTATTTATGGCAGTCCTTCTAGTATATGAAGACTGAGATCATGTCCCCTCTTAAGTGCCTTTTCTGCAAGCTGAACATACCTAGTTCAGCTAGTAACCAGCAGCACACTTATAAAATGGGAAATTCCCTTCTTGAGAGCACGGAGGCAGAAAGGGATCTTGGAGTCATTATTGACTCCAAGATGAACATGGGCCAACAATGCAAGGTCACGGTCAGCAGGGCTAACCGGATCTTATCGTGCATCCACAGGTTCATCTCAAGTAGGGCCAAGGAGGCGACACTGGTCAGGCCCCAGCTGGAGTACTGTGTCCAGTTCTGGGCACCCCACTTCAAGAGGGATGTGGACAACATTGAGAGGGTCCAGAGGAGGGCCACCCTCATGATCTGGGGACAGCAGGGCAGACCCTACAATGAGAGGCTACAGGACCTGAACCTGTTCAGCCTTCACAAGAGAAGGCTGCGGGGAGCCCTGGTGAACATCTATAAACTCACTGGGGGGGCCAGAAGGGTTTGGGGGAATCCTTGTTTCCCCTAGCGCCCCCCGGGATAACAAGGAATAACGGCCACAAGTCGTTGGAGAGTAGGTTTAGATTAGACATCCGTAAGAACTACTTCACAGTTAGGGAGGCTAGGATCTGGAACCAACTTCTGAGGGAAGTGGTGCTGGCTCCTACCCTGGGGGTCTTTAAGAAGAGGCTTGATGCCTACCTGGCTGGGGTCATTTGAGCCCAGTTTTCCTCCTGCCCAGGGAGGGGGTCGGACTTGAAGATCTACAAGGTCCCTTCCAACCCTACTTCTATGATTCTATAATTCTGTAATTCTATGATTGCTTGCCTCTGGAACCTCTCTAACTTCTCCAACTTCTTTTTAAAATAAGGAGCCCAGAACTGCACACACTACTCCAGATGAGGCCTAACCAGTCCCAAGTAGAGATGCACTATCACCACCTGTGTCTTGAACCGAATATTTCTATTGATGCAGCCTAAAACCTCATTCACCTTTTGTGCGGCTGCATCACACTGCAGACTCATATTGAGTCTGTGGTCTACCAAGACTCCCAAGTCCTTTTCCATAGATCTGCCATGCAGCTAGGTGTCACCCATTTTGTATTTGTGTTTTTGATTATTCTTCCCAATGTGTAGTACCTTGCATTTGTCCACACTAAGCTTCATCCTGTTAGCTCTAGCCCAACTTTCCTATCTGTCGAGATCCTTCTGAATTATGCTCACATCCTCCAGCGTGTTCATACTCCTTCACAATGTCACTGTAATTTATATAGCAAACTTATTTAGATTACCTATGAATTGTACTGCATCCCTGAACCCTTTCTTCCTCTCAACCCAATCTTCCCCAATCCTAATGCCGGGTTTTTTGATGAACTTGTTCTGGAGGAATTGTCCCCAGCCCATAGCCAAGATTTATATCTATGGGGACCAGAATACGATTCAAAAGCAGCCCTGAAGTCAGTAAACAGCTAAATTGTAATTACTGTATTCACTCAAATCCAAAACAAGGTCTTTCTCCCCCAGTCAACATGAGAGTAAAACATGCCTCATCTTAGATTCAACTACTGGCGCAGGTAAGGCAGCAGCCCAGCTCTGGTTTTGGCTCTGGGCTCGAGGCCATAACTAGAGCTGAGCCAACATCAGCCCCAGGCCAAGGTGACTTGTGCAGCAGGCCCACAGTTGGGCTCACATGTGGGAAGACTGTGCAGTGGAGGGACAAAGGGGGGGAGCATGGTGGGGACCACTTAACCAGCCTCCCACTGCTGCCTGCCTCCTTCCCACCTTCTGCTCCAGCTCTGGCCCCTCCAGTCCTGACATGGGTGGGCCCAGAGTTGCCACTGTTGCTTCTGTCTGGCTGGACTGGGGCTGGGGCCAAGGCCAGGACCACTAACTTCCCTAGAGCTGGAGGTGGAACTGATGCAGAGCCACCACAGAAGGTAAGTGGTGGAGGTTTGCATGTGGTGGGGGGCAAGTGGCAGAGGGGCAGGCACAGACAGACACAAGCACAGGGGGGCAAGGGACAAGGGGGCCAAGCAGCAATGCGGTAGGCATTAGCATTGCAGGGCAAGGGGTGGTGGGACAAGCCGGAAAGGCCAGGTCCAGGAAAACAAGAGGCAGAGGTCTAGGTCCTCATCCCCTGCCAATGCTTTCTCTACCGCAGCAGTGTTGGGGATGAATTTAAGACACCCCTCCAAAAATTAGGTTCTATGCATAGAAAATAATAGCGAACGTAGACATTTCCATGTATAGAATCTAATTAGTGGGGGAAGCATCTTAAATTTGGATTCATCTGGATTCAGGTAAATCCAGTAATGATATAGAAAAAAAGATTCTTTAGCCCATTCCTCTGCATGAAGTCAACTTTCCCCATCTATGCCCCAGTGCACGCATAACATAACTTCTTATGTAAAGGAGGCATTATATGCACTTTAATTCTGTATGTTTCTTACTTTATCCTTTGGGGTAGAAGTCTGAAAATAGAAAGATCTTGCCTAAAACCAGGATGACAATTTAAAAAAATATTCAGCCCTATTAGGTCCAATAAGAGGCCTGATTTGTTTTGGGCATTTTCAGGGATGATTAAGAATGGAATGTTTTTAATTTACAGATGGCTAAGGCTGTAATGCATATTTCCATGGTGATTGTGGGATGAATTGGGAATGGGACTGCATTGTTGGAATGCGAGGTTTTTCTTTGAAAGAATTAACAGGCCTCTGGACAGTACTGGAATAGCAGCCATGCCTGAAGGGACAGCAGGAGATGTGACTGGGGTGGATTTTAGTGAGGTATTTTGTACAGTGTTTCATGAAATCATACACTCAGAATTAATCCAAACTGGCTTGAATCTACCCGTTTTTATGGATCTTGAAAGCTAGTGGCAGGAGCAGAAACAAAAAATATAATCTGCAGCCATACATTAAGTTAGGGAAAGGTGTCTCATGGGGCCAATATAAGGATCAGCATTAGGCCAACATTATTTAATAACCTTATTAAAGTTCTGGATGAGGTAGTGGACAACATGTTAATGAAATTAGCAAATGGTACTGAATTGGGAGGGACCCTGAACACCACTGAGGACAGAAAAATAATACAAGGGATTTGGAAAGATTAGAATTGTGGCCAGGAAATAACCAGATGAAATTCATCTGAGAAACATACAGGCTAATACATCTGGAAAAAATAATCTGCCAGGCAGAGACTCGTTGGGAAGGAGAACTCTGGAAAGCAGTAATGTAAAGAGAGATGTAGAGGTAATAATGGGCACAGACCGTAGTTTGCATGGTAATATGGCAGCAAAAGAAAAAAGGGAGGTAAAGCAATTTTGGATGGCATATGCCTAAACAGTATACATAAAAGTCGGGAGGGGTAAGTTCCTCTAATGAAACTCCCTACTCAGGGTGGGGGAAGACACCCCTTTTTCAGTAGAGAGGTTCAGAGTTTCATCTGGGGTGGGAGTGTATTGTTTTTAAGATAAAGTATGTCCAAAGGAAGCTAGTAAAGAAGCTGCTTTTTTATCTGGGATGGAGTTGGGTGTTGGCCCCATTGCATAAGCACGAACTGGTTCATTTCAGCACATGTTGCATTGGATCCTAAGAGTATGTCTATACTGCAGCAGCAGCATTCCCCATGCCCTCCTACCTGCTCCCACTTCCACATGCTAAACTTTTTCATATGCTGGTCATGCTGTTCTAGGGACAACTCTCTATGACTGCTCTCCAGGTCTGCATGTGTGGCATGGCTTCAGAATGGCCTCACTGGTATATTTCTGGGTTTAGGTGTAGGAGTGGGAGCAGGCGCAGGCAGGTGAGATGTGTTTGTGCATGCCTCTGCTAGGGCATGTTGCCACCATGGTGTGGACAAACCTGCAGTAGGACAGCCCAAAAATCAAATTTTTTTTTGTCTGAAGGAAATTTTCCTTTGTCTTTCCAAATGTTGGTTTAGAGTTGAAAACCAAACCGTGTTCACACTTCCCATGATATGTAATTACCCTGGATCCTAAAGCTGTTTAGTGAAATTGATATATTTGTTAGTTTCACTGCTCAGAAGAGAAGATTATCGATTTCATTGGATGGCAGCAACGGCCTTCCATGGTCTCTGGCTCCAAGCCAGACTTTCCTACAAACCCTGAAAGCATCAGGTCCTTGGTCCTGGGGAGTCCTTCAGGATGACTTCTCATTGAACCCAAGTTGTTTTAAATGATACATTCTAGATTCACTAAACCAGCCTTATCTAGAAAAACTTTCTGCCAGAAAATTTCCAACCCATTCTAATCCTTAGCAAAGGAACACATAAAAGTTTATAGCCAGAGCTATAAGAATGATTGATATTTCTACTTCACAGGCCATACTGGGAGGAGAAGAGAGAAAAAGAAAAATGCTGTTTTAGGTTGAATAAAACATTTCCTTTGTTGAATTTATATTTTATTTGTAATTTTTTAATATTACAATTAGGTAACTGTCCTTCTGTATTGAAGCAAATACACCGACTCCCCCCCCAAATTCTGCATTTTTGGTGAATTAAATATTCAAGCCAAAATAGCAGCCAGCTCTTATTATAATGTGCCTTCGTTCCTCAGGACAGTTGATTGTCTAAATCAGACATGCACCAGAGATTGCAGGTTGTACAATGTGTGTGATCCCACCCCACTACCACAACAGTCATAGTCAAGTAGGCTAGCAGTCTGCACCATAGAAACAGCAGGCCACTGGATTTTTACTGCTAACTAAAGTAGGAGTCTGGGCATATTGCTTAAAGAAACTTCCATTGTGGAGGGCAAGCAAGACATTGCACATGTTCAGAATATTTTGAAACCAACCCCTTTGCAGTGAACCTTTGCATATGTGGGGTTTGTAACAGAACAAAATAGATTTTTCCTAGGGTTTGGTTTCCTTATAAAAGTCCTGGCACCTTAACAAATCTCAAGAGTGAACTCCTGGGAGTTTTGCAGTTGACTTCAGTGAGGCTCCAAGTTTATCCTTTATGAGTGCAATATTTGAAATAACAATTGTATAGAAGTTCTAATGTCTACTAACAGAGGTGAGTAAAAAGCTTATGGAAGTGAAAATATACACAGGCACAGTGAGCTGGGATAATGATCATGGCATGACGTTTGAATAAAATTTTTTGCATGTCATGCTGTTCACTGCTATGTGTATTTGGGTCTGGAGATTTACTGAGGAAACTACAAAAGACTGTTTTTGTGGTCTCTGAAGCAAAGTAAGCACATTTCTGGACAAAAGAAATCTTATTTATTTAGATAAGTATCAGCTATTTTAAAACAGTATTGAGAACTGCAGTTATTTAAAATGAAACCTTTAAAATGTGGAAACATGCAATTACAGGTATACAAATAACCTTGGCTCTGTGCCTGTTTTTCTGTCTATTATCACTTGAATGGTGATGCACTTCAGCTATTACAGCTTTGGACATCTTGTAAAATCCTGGACCCGTAATGAAAACATTACAGACAGGGCCCCGTCTTTCTTTTATGGAAAAAAATAATGTCCTAGCTAAGGGTGGTATGCGAATTATTCTGCCCTAGGATGGAGTCAGTGGATTGGAAAATAGTTTATTCATGGCTGGAGTGAAGTCTGTGATTTCCATCACAATGACTAATATAGAAAGTGTAATAGTATTTCCAGCCTGCAAAAGAGGGTGAATGGACTAAATTAGAGCTGACTAGCTCAGAGCACAGAGGTAGATGGACTGGATGTGCAGGTTGATAAGCCTGATAGTTTGTATGCTTCTTATCATAGTTAGAAATTGGACTGAGGCAAGAGACAAGGAAATAAATTGGTGTGTTTTGGAATTAATGATCAGACAAGTGGGGGTGATTTTCACTGAGTTTGTTGGCCATGAAATGAATCTAAGTTCATGAGAGTTTGTAATGGAAAATCACAGAGAAGTGTAAGTAAGATGCAAGCAGATTTATGGTCTCCTGGATAAAACTAGTGCAATTAGAAAATTAAAGCAGCCTATGTAACTTCTAATACAAAATTATTTCCTTTCAAATACTTGTTTTATGTCATCACAACTTTATAATGTTTTAAATGTATAGTATTTTTATGCTCAACTATATTGAATATTGTGGGGATTTTTAATGCATGAAGCTTCCTGCCTCTGCACTACAGACAGGCGTTATCCTTCTTCCATACTTTTCTCTACCGGAGTGCCAAAAAGAGATCAAAGTAATTACTTCCTTGGCCAAAAAGATACCAAAGCCTAGAAGACTTTAAGATAGGTGGAGTCATGCCCGGTAGAGGAAAACAAGAGTCCAACAAGGGGGATTTTTTTTCTCCTACCTCTTCAATCATCCTTTGAGAAATTGCATCACTTGAGACTGGTTTTGTTTGCATTTCAGATGAGAAATGCCGAAGTTTCATCGAGCTCTCACCCCCAGGGGAGAGAGGTAAGAATTAGCCTTTTCTTTAGCCTACTAGAATTTCCCAGTGCACCTCCTTGAGGGACGGGGAAGTTTCAGCAGGTTGGGAGGGTAGTATAGAAAAAATTAGGATTTTTAGATTCATGGGTGATATCCTGCCTGCACTGAAGTCAGAAGGGACAGGATTTCTCCCTAGGTAGTTATTCAAGCCTCTGGTATCTGCAAAATCAATGCTAGAAATCTCAACTTTCCATATATATTTTCTGATGCTTTCTACTTTCCGCTGAAGTGGAAAGCCGGAAAAGATTGACTTCTTTCCCTGTTTCATCATACAACCTTTGATCGTAACAAGCACATTAGTAACGAAAATGGTAAACAGTAATACAAGTGGGCTGAATGTTCTTGGACAAGTCACATACTGCAAAAGGGGCCACACATTTTGGTTATTTGGATTTTTGGGAGATTTAGTTAATCTGGATCTCAGTGGTGCAAAGTGCCCACTATGGCTGGAGGGAAGGGGAGCTGTGGGTGATCAGAATCTCTGAAAATGTAATTATTTTAAATGTAATGACAGTACTTCCATGGAGTTCACTGAGACCAGGATTTTGTCCTTGGTGTCTTAGATTGGGCATCCAAAAAGTGGGGTGTCCCAAAATAGTGGCTACTTTCTCTGTAAAAAGGGGCTAGCACTGCTGTGGAAGTGGAAGAGCTTTAACAGAAGGTATTGAGGAAAACCCCCTCCTCAACCTAGAATACTTCCTGTATAGTAGTTTACCCATTCATCTTGGAGAGAGGAGAGTCAGGTTCAAATCCTCTCAGATGCAAAAGAGAACAGACCTTGAGTCTTCCACATTTCAGGGAAGTACTCTAACTTCTGTGCTATTGGATAAAAAAAATGGAGTGGCAGCATCATCATTTCCAGCCACATTTCTACACATCTGAGTCTGGTAGATGTGTTCCAAAGGATCTTCATGTGCCTTGCCAGTGATAGAGATGTTTCCCTGACAAGTTTGTCAGCCATTAGGCACCTAGAGAATTTTACAGTTAAAAACGTACGTGCCTGTGAACTGTATGGAATCTCCAAAGTTAGGAAGGAGCTGGGAAGGTGTTTGGAAGATCTAAATAATGGACTTAAGCACCTAAAGTGGCAGTCAGGTGGGCACCTCAGTCTTTCTGTGGATCTGACTAGTAGCTAATTTTCTATCAGCAAACATTCCTAGCTTCCTTGATGTCTCCTTTGGAGTATACCCAGAAAGTATCACAATTAGGTTTGACGGCACTGAACAGCTTGGTGCCTACACCAAGCTCATCCCTACACCCCATCAGGATTCAGAAAATAGGAATTCTCCCATCTTTCATTTGTGGGACCTGGTCTGATAGTTATGCTGTAATCCTACATAAAATGTGGCCAGAGGAGCTGGCTGCATCCCCTTCTGCTCCAACTCCTTTAAAACAATTATGCAATGATCAGAATACTCTGCTGAGACATGGGAGACATGGCTGAAATCATTTCTCTTCCTGTGGGGAACTCAAACCCAAGCTTTTATGTCCTAGAAGCATTCCCTACCCCATAGGGTATTCTGGGGTAGGACATCTCTCAACTGTGCCTGTTGAAGCTACTCTACTTTTTACAAATCCTTGAACATTCAATTACAGTAGAAACTGCCATACCGATCCACCCCTTGCCCTAGATTACAGAATCAGATGCTCTCTCTTCTCTCACTGGTCCAGTGGGTATTTAGTTATACTATGCAAAGTGCAGCAACTTCAACAGGAGGAGATTATAGAGCCCCCAAACGTCCTATAACCTGATAGGGAACTTTCCAGGGATCTGGGTAAATGTGGGTTATAATCTCTAAATATCCCATATTCTAGCTGAGTGCACTAACCACTGCACTGTTGATACAGGTACTACACACTCCTCCAACCATGGCTTGAAAGGACTGACCCTTCCTCAGACTGGTGTTATGTGTCTAACTCCAGAGAAGGGTTCATGTATGTGCATCCTCAGTAGAAATAGGACCACTTGCAGCAAATTGAGCCCAAGTCCTGGGAAGACATGTAGTTTAAGGCTCTCTGTTTTCAATTCACTGGTTTAGGCAGTTTCTTGCTCAATGTGCTGAGTTTTCTAGATCCTACCTCCCCGTGCATTATAGAAGGAGGGTCCTGCTGTACAACGGGCTTACATGAGACCTACAGAAATCACTTAAGCCCTTAATGGGATGTGCTGGTGGGAAGTGTTACTTTCACTGTAGGCATGTCTACACATGTAGTTACACATGCCTAAACTTAATGCACCTTTGCTTAAGGTGCATTAAGGCAATTTAGGCATGCGTCTACATGCAGATGCACTAAAGAGCATTAAAGCACATTACATTTAGGCTGACATTGCTAAATTGCATTAGTGCCCTGCTAAGGCGCATTAAGCGTCCACATGTGAGCTAATGCGATTTAACTATGCCGGCTTAAATTTGATACTTGCTTTAAGCAGGTATCAAATTTAGGTGGGATTACATGTGCACACCCTTAATGCGCCTTAAAAATGGCGATTTTATGCTAATCCCACTTAAAAGGGCTATGTGTAGGCAAGCCCTGTATTCAGGTCACCTGCAAAAGGTGCTTTAGTTTGCCCAGTATTTTCTGGAGTGCTCTGGGGAAAGCTAGCATGAGCCTGTTTATGGTGGGCATCACAACTGTATAGTCAGGAGGTCAGAAGGAAGTACTCTCACTGTGGCAGGTTATGCCTCTAACATGCTAACTCTGAAAGATTTGTTCTTTCCTCTTGTTCATGGCAGGAATCCTGTGGCTGTCACTAGGCTCAGAGATGTTCTACATCAGCTTGCTGCTCATTAGTTTCATTCTACTGGTGATGGAGATCCTGTACACAGGGAATCCTATCTGTGGACTGAAGCTCAATGCCTTTGCCGCTGTCTTCTCTGTGCTGTCAGGTGAGTACCTCTCTACAGGCATGAAACTGTGAACGTGTTCCCAAAGGCAGCATAACACAGAGTATAAATCCCATCAGGAAAAAGTTCAAGAATTCCTCTGGGGAGGAAAGTGAAGCAAAGGCCTAGTAGAATGTTTATAAGGGATTAGGAGGACAATGGAGAGAACATGGTAGGTAGCAAGGGAGAGCAAGAAATGAGCAGAGTTGGGGGAAAATAACAGAGAACCAGAGGGAAAAGAAAGTGACCCAAATAGAGCAGGGCCCAGGGGATGCTAGTTCTGTAGTTGCTAAATTTGCAGAGCATGAGGATAAATGTGATTCTAAACCTTAGTCCCTAAACAGAGATGAGGTAAGGCCCTGGCCCCATCATGACAACTTTGTCTTCCTGTCCTCTTGCTTTAGGCCTGCTTGGGATGGTGGCGCACATGATGTTCACACAAGTCTTCCAAGCAACTGTCAATCTGGGGCCGGAGGACTGGAGACCACACTCATGGGACTATGGCTGGGCCTTCTAGTATGTGAGCTGTGAGGCTCTTTTCACCTCCCCTGACTGGAGGCTTTTGTCACACTCCACTCCACAAGAATTCACCTGTTTCCTATTAGCCTCCTTGCTCCTAAAGATAGCTCCAGCATGGTTTCCCTGGTGCCATTGTAACACCTTCACCTCATCCCGTGCCTGAAAAGATTAATATAATAGATCTTAGGCATGCAGAAAACCCAGTGGGTCACATCTCATCCACTGCAGGATTGTTCCCTGAAGCATATGTTTTCCAGTGTTTTGCCTAACCCAGTTTTAAATGAGTCAAGTAATGCAACTTTCACCCTTTTTTGAGGGGAAATTATTCCACAAATCACCAGTCTTTGTTGTTACTCAGTGTTTCCTCATGTTCAACCATGAGGGTCCTTTTAGCAAAAGAAACGATAAACCCTGTGGCTGTGCAGAGAGAATTTAATGAGGCAAAATTTAATTATGTAAACTGAAGTTTGGCCAGCACTGGCTAAGATCCAGTGACCATGGCTTCTTTAATTAATGTGGATGATCAAAACCTCTCTTAGCAATATCCTGGAGCTTTGGTTTAATACTGAATTAGAGGGAGGAAAGCCACTATATCCTGATGTCCCCATTATTTTCCATGTAAATATTGAACAGGCTCAATATCTCAGAGCTTCTGGGAGGACAAGACTCCCATGCTCCTAGAATGGTAGGCTGTGTTATTGCCTGCTCTTTACCTCCAAGCCCTTTCTTAGAATCAGTGAACGCATCTACACATAATGCTACATCAGTGTAGCGACGCGCTATGGCAACATAGTTCGTCACTACGACGTAGCGTCAGCAAGCACAAACTGTGACACCAACGCTATGTTGCCATACTGATGAGCTACCTCACTGTAGTGCATCGCTATGACGACATAGCTGCTAAAAATAACCGTGTGCCACCAGGACAGTGCAGTAATGGCTGTTACTGTGCCGTCATTTAGTACTTCCTAAAGCAAGTACTAAACGATGGCACAGTAACAACTGCACCATGGGAGGCATGTGTAGACATGCCCAGTTTGTCCCATCTGCTCCATTTCATCATTGGTTTACTATTAATGTTGACACCCCTCGCCTTTTAATATTAATGCATGAAGTGCTAGGAACCAAATAGCTATCATGTCACACAATAGTTTGAAAACACTGACTTGAACAGCTGTGTCAGTGAAAGAGTGCAAAACAGTGCCTGATGGTTTATAGAAATTAATCATCAGAATTCCTCCTCTTCTGGGTTTTTACACTGTCTCCTTCCATGTGAGATTGCTGTTGCTTGCTTCATTCAGTATTACATGTGCTCATGAACGGTGCATGTCCCTGGAAGCTGGTGGGGCACGGCGAGCTCCTGTAGGCAGCAGTGGTGCAATCGGTGGCGGGAGCATGGCAACGGCAAGCGGGGAGCTCCCACAGGTAGCCACAGTGCTATTGGCAGCAGGGAAGGGTGGCGAGCGCTGACCAGTGGTTAGTGACAACCCAGAGACGCAGCCAGCAGTGGCAGTGGTGTCCAGTGGTGCCCGCAGACGCTACCAGTGGTGTTGGCGGCGGGGGAGGTATACGACAACTGCCCACAGGCGCCACAGGCAGTGTTGGCGGCACCTTTTCACACAGGGTGCACCACCACATTCAGGGGGTGCAAGTGCACCCACATGCACCACCTACACGTTGCCAGTGCATGTGCTCAACTGTTACAAATCTGCAGCTCACAGCAACGTGTATGCTGAATGCAGTAAATCTTCTCCACATACTATAGGTAGCCCCATAACTGCTCTATATTTCTATCTGTGGTTAACAGGGATTGAGAGAATTTGTTCTGGTGTGCTGTGAGATATTGAGCACAGTGCCTGTTGTTCATTATTACCCCATACATGGGTATAGTGCTTTTCTTACAGAAAAAGAGGTACCACCTACTTAAGAGGGAAACATTAGAGAATATCGAAGTCATGATAGTGTTGTTTTGTGGCTCCTGAGTGAGTTTCTAAGAGGTTGGCAGCACTAGGAATGGAGGAGATACTTTGGGGAATACAAAAGTCTCCATACTCAAATAGATCATATTAAATCTGAGATCCGTTGAATGGCAGTGTCTAAAACTTAAAGCTTCAGAGAAACATACAGAACCCGTAAAAACACTGATTAGTTGTGATGCATTAGATGAAAAGTGGGAAGGTTCTTTCTTGACCTAGGCAGTGATCAGTTACTAGCCTAAAATATGAGATTGGATTATCAAAATTACAGTGTGAGACCATAAAATTATCCAACTCATTAAAGCTAGGTGCAAGATCTGGCTTTGTAATGCTTGGAGGGGACTGATTCAACTGACCAATTACTGTATGAAGTATTTTTTTTGCACTACTTTTAAATTTACTTGCCATTATCTTCAAGTGACCCCCCAGACCAATCCCAGCTCATGCTATGAGACACCATTAAACAAAAAAGGAGAGCTTGATTAGCTTTCATTTTGTTCTTCATAATCTCCTCTATAATCAAATCCCTTCTGCCATGCTAAATAATCTTAGTTATAAATGCGGTCTTTGCCATACCTCTGCTAACATGCTTACCCTGATGTAGACCTTCTTAACTAGCAGAGGTATACAAGAGAGGTGTGTGGAACTGGCCCTATTCAATTCAGATTCGGATTCATCCTGAATCAGGGACAGTGATTTGATTCGTTGATTCAGATCACTGTCCCTGATTCGATTCGGCCAAATCCAAATCTGAAGATTTGATGCTGATCCAGCAAATCAGCAGTTCAACCACAGACACAGTTTTAAATGTTTTTTCTACATATCTCGAGGTACCAGGCACAGCTTGTGAACACTGCGATGGTGGGGTGGCTGGAGTGTCCCACAGGAGCGTGGGGGAGCCCACGGAAGTGGACTGGAAGTTTTGTCCTGTGGACCAGAAGTATTTCTGGTCCACTTTTGGGTCTGCTGGGGAGGCCCCCTGCACCCCCCTGGCTTGGCGATTGGCCATGGTAGGACCCCAGGTGCCCTTCCAGACCCAGAAGGCACCAGTTGCCGAGCCGGGGGGGGGGGTGGGGGGGGTGCAGGAGGGCTCCCCAGAGTGTTTGGCGGTGGACCCGGAAGTGGACTGGACATGCTTCTTGTGTGCTTCCAGGTCTTCTGCTGAGTGCGCTGGGGAGCCCCCTCTGCTCCTGTGGGACACTCCATGTGCCCCAGCATCGCAGCATTCATGAGCCGCCTGCTACCTAGAGGTATGTAGGAAAAACATTTAAAGCGGTGTCTATGTCCAAATCGCTGAACCTTTCCCAATCTCTCCGAATCAATTCGGAGGGTTCCTATTCGATTCGGAGAGATTAAAGGGTCTCCTGATTCAATTTCGATTTGGAGATTTGGCCGCCGCATCTGGCCAAATCTCCTCTGAATCAAATCAGGGACCGAAGCTTTGCACATCCCTAGCATGCAAGGCATTGGTAAGGCTCTGTTTAGACTATTGTGTGCAGTTCTGATCAGCAGTGTTAAAAACAGATTAACTTAACATGGAATGAATTCAAGGAAGGGGCATTTAAAATGGTTGAGAGAGTGGAGACTTTGTCTCATGAAAGAAGATTAAAGGAGTCTGGTTTATTTAGTTGAGCAAAACAGAGACTGAGAAAGGGAATAAGGTCATTCTACAAGCACATCGATAGGGTGAATGCTAGAGAAGGACAAGCATGTTTGTGGCTGAAAAACTGCACCAGTTCAAGATTAAATTGGTACAAACTGGCTACGTATAGACTGGAAATTAGAAATAATGTATGGCTATCAGAAGAGTGACATTTTGGATTTTTTTCCTTCCAAACAAAGTTATTGGGACAATGAACCTTAGTTGCCTTAAGACTGAACAGGACAAATTTGAGGAAGCAATGGTATGATAGGACAGGGAGTCCTGGTTTAATAGTGAGTGAATGTGATATACAGTCATATACTATTTGTAAAGGAAGCTCTCCCAAACTGTGGAAGGTGTCTGGGAGTCGCATTGTCTCAGGGCTTTTGCTTATTGCCAGTTGGGCTAGGAAGGAATTGGTTTCCCCTCATGAATGCTACTGGCTTCTAGGGAGGAGGGGTCTTCATCTTCCTCTGAAGCACTGAAATGTTGGTTGACCATAGCTAAGGCTGGGGGAAGAGGGAGTGGTTGAGATCCACTGATGTTCCTATTGGTATTTAGAAAACCCAGTTGCCTGGCTAGAGGATCTTGTTCTTCTGCTTAGTGTTATACTGACTGCCCAATTTGGGGTTAAGAAGGAATTTTTCCCTTAGATCAGGGGTTGTCAACCAGGGGTATGCATACCCCTGGGGGTACTCGGGAAGGCCCCAGGGGGTACACGTCAGTGGCACAGAGAAGCGAGGACGCTTCCGGTTTTGCCGACAGTGCTTCCGGTTTCGCCACTGTGTGCAGGGGCCCCTCCCCCCCCCCACTCGTCGATCAGCCATTGGGGGACCCTCCCCCCCTCCATTTGTCGACCTGCTGGCTGGGGGACTCCCTGCTCCTCAACCAGTCACCGGGGGTACACCAACCAAAAACAGTTGAAAACCCCTGCCTTGTATCATATTAGCATAGACTGTGGGGTTTTGTGCCTCCTTCTGTAGCACAGAGTGTAGTCATTTTCCTTGGATCTCTTGAGCGTGTGCTGACAAACTACTTCCCTGTAATTGTAGTGGCCACACAGTGGCAATGCTGCCTTCTCTCATTTTTACCTGTGGTGTATTTGGGGTTGTGATTTATGCCTGTATTTGAGGGAAAGAAGTAGAAATGTTGGGAACTCCTTGAGTTAATGGTTTGAAAATGCAGGGACAGGAGACCCTTTCCACTCTTACATTAAAACGAATTGAACCAAACTAAATACAAATGAGGATGCCACATCCATTAGGATGTTCTCCAAACTACTGTTTGCATCAGGATAGAGTTGGCATGAAGCTCTAGGGAGCTCTGGCCTCGCAAGGAAGACCAAAGACAGGGGGAGTTAAACTTGTGTTATGAGCTTTTCACTTTGACATTTTACCAGTTTCAAACTATTCCTGGTCTGGGGGAACTGGAAGCAATGACAGGATAAAGCTTAATGCCTAAAATGGCTTGTATTGGTTTAAAATGGTTGACCAGGCTAAAGCCCTGTCAGTCTAGTTGATGTCCATCTCTAGCTAATGCCTTTTGGCCTGGTGTTTCAGAAAGGCTGCAACAGCAAGGCTGCATTGCTAAGGCTGCCATTAGCAATATGTATCATTCATCACAACTTCATTTTACTCCAAAGATGAATTCTGTAAGATCCTAATTGCATCTTGGGTTCCCTTTCCTCTCTCTTAGCATGGCCTGGTCTTCCTTCACCTGCTGTATGGCCTCTGCTGTCACGACTCTCAACATCTACACCAAGACAGTTCTGGAGTTCAAACGTAACCGTGTCAAGGGCTATGATGGGAGCTTCAAGGACCAGCCGCAGCATCACAAGTGCTACATGCCACAGCGGCACCAATCGGAACAGATGGGCAGCTATTACCAGCACCGAGACAAGCCTATTCATTCCATCTCAGAGGGAATTGACTTCTACTCCGAGTTGCAGCAAAAGGTGTTACAGCGGGAACCTGACCTAGACCTGGATGAGGTCCTGGGACAATCAACTGGGGAGGAACACTGTTAGGGCAGAAAAAGTGGAACCAAACAGAAGCGCTATTGTTAACACAGTCTAAGGGGTGCCGATTCCTTTAATATTACAGAAATATTGGAAGCAGGGAAGAGGAAGGGGAAGCAACAAGGTTGGGGAGCAATGCAAGACCACTTATACTGACAGTGACTTAAACCCCTTGAGCTTGTCTGCTCTACTGGAAGTTTGAGGGAGATGTTACCACGTGCATCATGAATGGTAAAGGCAGAGGTCATTTCTTCTAGAAAGTTATGTTGACTATGTCCTTAGTCACCACGCTTCTAACTCCTACTCCTATGATGTTTTGCATTTAGTCACTGGATAAAATGGGTAGAGAACAGTGGTAGCAGCAGAAGCCCCATTGGAACTAGATAGGGTCCAGAACCCAGGGGCTCATTGCTTTCCAGGCAGTGCCTGTTTTACTGAGCCAAATTCCCTCTGCCTTGTCCTCCTTCTGGTCCTACATATCTTCTTGATTATTAAGCAGGCCAGCTTCAACAGGGGGTGCTCCGGGCACTACCTAGCTCATGGCCTCGTGCCTAGAGAACGTGTGCAGATTCAAAACCCTTCAGTAAAGGGAGCCTAAACAAAGGTCTCCCACTCACCCCTAACCACTAGATTATTGGGTTCCTCCTCCTTCATTGCTTTGTGACTGATTTGCACAGTTATGACTACCTTGGGAGTTTAGGATCTAGACTCTACATCAAGTATTAGCAATGTATGGCCTATGGGCTGGATCTGGCCTGCAGGGCTGGAGTTTTGTCTGTGTCCACACACCAAGCTGAGGCCAGGCATTTCCAGCTGCATCCACGCTGCTGGTACTTCTCCCTACAGCTTGGGCTCACTTTCCAGATGGTAGGGAGCTGTGTCAGGCCAGGCAGCTTGCAGCTGTGCCCACACTTCAGCTGGGAGGAGTGTGTAGGAGGGAAGCAGGGAGAAGCAGCAGTAATGTGGATGCAGTTCAAAGCTGCCCACCCACAGTGCAGCTCCCCAACAGTTGGAAGCTGTCTCCATGATCCAGCTGAGGAGTGGGAGGCTAGAAGTGGTGGTAACATGGGTGCAGCTTGCAGCTACCTGGCCCTGGTGTGGTACAGGGAAAGCCCCCCTGGTACGATATACTGCAGATACTGCCAGGCCTGAGTCAGACTGCAGCCAAGTTGTTCTGGCCTGTAGCTTGTTTAAGGTTTCCAGCCACTGCCCTATCTGAAGGCAAAGTTGGATTTAGGCCTTCAAGTTCAGCAAGCTTCCCACTACAATGAGAATGAGAAGGTATCTTTCTCATCTTCCATAACCTTCTGGTCACATTTTCTCCATCTTCTTTCCATTTTTATGCCATCTATCATCCAATTTCTGTGCACCATTTTTTTCCCTGCCCCTAGATTCACTAAGGTTCCCGTCTATGCTCCTTGCACTTTGAGCTTTCCTCCTGTGCTGCTTGTTCCCCTCTTGCTGCCCAGACTCCTACAAGAGGCCTGCCCACCCATTTCCCTCACACTATCTGCAACAATTCAAGGGCAGGGTCCTGCTCTCTCCATTCCTCCTAGTCATGAATGCTACTACAAAAGCAGTCCCTCCAAAAGGAAAATGAAGTTGCACACAGAGGCAATGCTGTACACTATATTTATTTGTTCCACTGCAGTTTACAGTTCAAATATTTTTTTCCTGACAATATACAGACAGACTTTCTATTCACAGTGGGGATAAGGGAGAAGAATTCACATTATGGAGGAGCTAGTGTCACTGCACATTAAATATCTGGCCTAGGAATTTGAGGAAGAACCTAAGGAGAATTACTACTTCAGATAAAAGCTTTCAAGCCTTTTCTGCAAGGTGGTGGCAGAAAAGAAGGGAGATGGAGCATAGCCCTGTTTCTAATTAACTTCCTCTGCCACTGGGACTTACAACTTCAGCCACCACTGTTCAAACTAAACCAAACACTTTTAAAGCACCTAGCCCTGCCAGGGGACAGGAGAGAAAGGCAGGTGCCAAGACAAACAGCCCCTTGCTACATGTGTGCTAATACATACAGGGCTATTTACACAAAAATGCCATTACACGTAAAGCTCTGCACAAAGCTCTGGCATTACCAGGGAGGGGCTCAAGGGCCAGCCTTGGAAATTGCAGCTAATCTAAAAGAGACTGCAGGGAGCCATTTTATAGGAGATGCAGTGAGAAAGACAAGTATTCAGAAGATGGCCCAAGAAACCAAGCAAAGGAGACAACTCTCCCCAAAGATGCAATGGGCCCTTTAAAGGGAGGTGCAAAATATGCCAGGCCCTCAGCACTAAGAAAGGAAGTACTGGAACAATACCAGCTGGAGGACAGACAGAGGCAGCAGGCAATAGCAGAAGATCTGTGTTAGGGCTGCAGCTGTTGCCAATGCTAAAGGGGGAGCAGAACTAGACCTGCTGGGAAACCAATATCTATAAGGGATTGCCTTGCAGTGGAGTAAAGGGATGGGGAGGGGGAGGAATCTGTAGGGACCAAAGGTCACTAAAGAGGCTGTCACAGCAGGCTTTACATGGATACTCCACAATCATGGCACAGACAGTACATTTCAAACATTAAAACCTATGGAGACAGAGTCTAGCAGACTTGCACATAGGGTGGATGGGTGAATGCTAATATGAAACCCGTCTAGGGCTACTGTGTTCAGCACTGGTCTCCGTGATTACCTTTGAGCAACCCTTGGCTGTTTTAACTCACATTCTCTCTCAATGGTCCCAAGGGACCAAAACTACAGCTGAGCAGCAGAGAAGGGTTTCCCAGCATTACCTCAAGCCTCTTGTACTGGGTGTGACAAAAGAGCCTCTATGCAAACTAAGAACCACTCCATAACACATTATTATCTTCCAGGGGCCAGACATACTGGCCAATCTACCTGTGCTGTACTACTCAGGAATACATGGTTCATATGATTTAATTTGTTTGCACTAGGGCAGACATCATGTGATGCCATAAGGGCTCATAAGAAAGACCAAAGGGAGAGGCAAAGCTGGATATAAGACATGGGCCTTTCATATCTACATTACCAACCCTAATTTGTGCATGGGAGAAGAAACTGGTAGGCTCAGGGGGTTAACAAGGAATTGTGGAGTCTTTTGCCTCTTGGTTGCTTATTCTAAACTAGCCGAATCAGGGAGGGCAGGACATTCCAAGGAACTGAGGGTGAGGGGATACAGTGGTGATCCTAAAGTAAAAGAGGTAGGAGAGCTGAAGGAGCCTGTATGATGAAACCAGCCATGGAGGAGCCAGGCTATGGTTCCCCTAGAAAACAGTGGGATTAAAACACGATGAATGGAAATACTGCTTGAATACAAACAGGAGTTTCCTGGAAATAGTTCATAAATTAAAACATACAAAAAATATACATACATACATACATATATATATATACATTTTTCTGCATTCACATTTCCATGGTACCTGGAGGAAGCACGCAGGCAGGGTGTGGCAGGGGAGAGGTCCAGCAGCATTCCCAGCTTTTTCTGGCAAGCTTGAGGAAGGGACAGGGGAGTAGCTTCAGTCCCTGCTCCCTTTGTACAGCAAGTATGATGAAGAATCACTGAGCATCTTCCCCTACTCCACCAAGGGCCAAATATCCACCCTGTGCATGTGAAACCTGAGAAGCCAACATCCTAGACCTGGAGAAAGAAAAAGAAGGCATTAGTCAGGCAGAAAAATGGGTTCTTTGTAGAGCACAGTTAGGCCTCAGCATAGCCGGAGAAAGGCCTGGACTCCATTTGCTCATAGTCAGAGCAGGGGATACTCCATTTCCCCCACGCCTTCTCAGCCCCTTTCCATCTCCCACCTGGTTTCTTTTTCTTGTTGCTAAGACAATTCTTTCATTGTTATTTCCCAACACTCAAAGAATCACCAGACCCTGGTGTTCCCTGCTTGTTTACTCCCTCTCCACAACCCATCCCACCCTTTGAATTTAGCAAAGGATTCCATCAGGGGCTTGGTTAGCTATCTTTTTACCTTGAAAGGAAAATCCACAAATTTCAGCCTGGCCAAGAATCTCCTTACTTCCCCTCGGCTGATCTTGGGGGTGGTGTCCTTTAGCAATACCATGCGGCTTTGAGTCATCATGGCCCACCTCAGGCCTAGCTTGCTGACAGACAAAAATCCTGGTTGGTTTTCAGCTGTAGGGCTCCTCATCATAGTGATGTAAAATGCATCTTTCTGGAGATCATTAATTCCAACTGATCATTAAGAACAGGAGAGAAAAATAGTGGTGAGCACTGAGAAAAATCAATTCTTCTAAAAAAAATTTTCCAAGAATGAGCTCCAACCACGTAGACTATGGCTTTTCGCTACACACACATCTGGTAATTTTGTTCAGTGGTGCACAGGTATATAAGGTGACAATCAGCACAGGAACTAAATTGTCATATAAATCAGAACATGAAGTCTGAAACCCCTAAGGGCATTTTTGAGTGTAGTGCTGAGAGTGACATATATTTGCATCACAAGATACATTGGTAGACAGCCTCCCAGCAATAGCTCTCACAGAACATTAAAAACTTTAATCCCTGGCACACCATAAACAGGCATCCTATTACAAGCTGGAAAACAAAGACAGGGGGTTTAATGGGCTTGCCCAAAGTCATATTTGTCACACTGACCTTTCAAAGGACACGCTGATTTAGCTTGTATTGAAATTTTATTACAATGGGAAATAAGATGGCCTGGTTCTCACATACAGTGGGGTTAGGACAAGCAGATGGACAGTCATCATGGAACAGCTGATGCATGATAAGTCTCTGACACCTTTTACTCTGTGGTAAATTACTCCTTTGTCCATACAAATACTCTTACTCATGAACTTCTGCCCCTTTTTGACTGATAAGCTTACCTATGTTCTGCATGGCTTTCAGTTTAGCCCTCGATGCTTTACCTCTCACTTACTGTGGGATAAAAGCAGACAATCTGACAGTTGCCATGGAGTAGCTGACGTAGGAAGTCCCTTTACTGCCTGGTAAACTGCTGCTTTATTCATCTGCGTATTCTTACTTGTGACCTAGTGCCCCTTTTTGACTGACAAGCTTATATAAAAATGCAGGAAGTGTGAAATGGCTTTGGCCATGACTTGCCTACAAAAGCTACATTTTTGTGTGTTTGTGAAATATCAGCGTTACCGGTACTTACAGGTCATTTTTTGTTTGTTGTAACAAAGGACTATTTATTATAAATAAGGACTGGAAAAAGGCATTCATTGTCATAATTTTTTGTAGCGATGGATTCTGTTTTAATGAAATCCACTTGGCACAAGTAGCTATGGGCCAGTACCTGGGGCTTGGAAATATTTTGTTGCACTGAAATTTTCCTAGAAACAGCCTTCACAAGATTCTACCTGTAAGCCTAGCTACCTGCTCTGACAGCTACTTTATATTCACTCTTTAGATAATCATATAGTGGAGTGCATCATGGATAGAAGAATCATGGCCTGATAGTTTTTCTGCACCTTCTACCATTCCAAATTCAACTGGTTCAACTGACTCAGTATCCTACCTCTTGTCATGCCAGACTGGCCATGGGTCTAACTGATCTGGTAGGCTGCCTTGGGTGTCTCTCAGATGCATTAGGAGAAGGTGAAAATCCTGTGGTCCACCTGCCTGACTGTAAAACTTTGTTTAACCATCAAAGGAAAAAAATATATTTGACTAAAGTGCTTAATTTAGAATCACCTCTTTGAAAAAGGAAAAAGTAGGAAACACAACAGCTTCTACCAGAGACCAGAGGACGAAATTGCTTAGAAAAAAAGTGTTTGGGGCCGGAAAATGTGTAGGATCCAATTCTGAATCAGCATATGCCAATGTTAATCATGAATACCTCCACTGAAATCAATGGAGTTACACTGATAAAGAACCAGTGAGAGATCACAGTCAGTTCCTCCATAATTATCTTACATATGAGTGATTCTGTGGGTTTTCTGTTTGCAAAACAGCAGACCTGATGTACAACAGAGATGAAGAAGAAAAATGGGCTTTGAGCCCTGGTTGTAATGTTTAATGATTTTTTATATTGCTACCCTAAGTTTAGTGGACACCAAGAGTCACACTTACCAAGAAGCACAGGAAGGCCCCAGATACTCCCACAGTCACCTTCTTCTCCAGAAGGGAGGAAGGTTTTTAACATCCATTTGGCCTTTCTCAGTATCCTATTGGAAAGAGACTAAGTCCCCAGTCTCACACATACTCACTGGCTGAAGCAGTCACTATGTCGGTGATATTGTTGAGGTCCAAAAGGACTGTAGGAAAGGCAGGATGCAAGAGGTAGAGATGGTGAAGCCCTGGGCGCTCATTTCTTGGGCCAGGTTCCTGTTGGACAGAAAGACAAAGAATGGTTTTCCTACTAGTAATTCCTACATTCAACAGAACCCCGCCGGTATAGTTATTCTCCACAATCTGTGGCTTTGGAAAGAGAATGGGTTTTCCTTGCTCCTGAATAAGCCAATCCCATGTAACATCACTCTTCACAATGCTGTAATTGTACTGTCTCATCTTTGATCTCACGCTGCTTCCACAGTGGCTGCCTGTGACTTCCACAGAATGAAAAGCATCTCATGGATGTCTACAACTTATCAACTGAAGGAGCTGCTTCACAGGCCTAAGTCAAGGGAGGGGTCAGAGACGAAAAGGGGACATTCTAAGTCTTTCTCCCCTCTCTCCATCCAGGAAAACTGGTGAAGTAGCCCAGGGGCCTGGGATCACTGCTGAGGCAAGAGGCAACTTATGAGACTTTGCAAATACAGCAGAAGTTAGGAAATTGGCATAGCTATTCAGAAGGCAGGGACCAGTGTAAGACCCATTCCAAGGATCAAGCCTCCAAAGGAAAGGAGAATGTCTTCACCAGAGACCAAGTTGTTCACTGACTATCAAAGGCTATTTCTACCCTGACAGACCCTGGGAGATGGCTCTGTAGAAAAGTGTAAAGCAGCTTTCTTCTAACGGAATTTCTTGCCCACCCCTGTATCTCTCTATGCCATACACTGGTACATTTCCTTTCCCATCTTATGTTTGGTTTTTGCTTTATATTTTAAAATAAAGATTTCTCTCTTATTCTTTCTAAGCATGTATATAGTATTGTGTAGCTGTGCCCAAACTGCCCAGGAAATAGAATTTCAGTACCACAAAATAATTTGAGTCTTAGGAAGAAATTTTGCCTGAAGCAGGCTGAAATCCTCCACACACTTTTTTGTTTGTTTGTTTTTTTAAACTGAAATTCTGCAATATTTCTAAAATACAATATGTTCCCTGGGTTTCCTGCCTGCCTGGAAGAAGGCAGTGGAGCCCTGACTTTATGGCAGGTTTCCTGGCAGGCCTGGAAGCTTGTGTCCCCAGCAGCCTCTCCCCAGTCCCCAACTTCCATCAAGTTTCTGAGGAGAACTTTGATTTTGTGGAAGTGATTTCTTTTGTTAGAAAATCACTCTGATGGAAATTTCCTAAGCAGCTTGAAAATACCTATGTGTGCACAGACACACATACACGTCACAAGTCAGAACCAGAAGGACAATCTATTCCTGCAAGGGTAGGTTTAAATTTCAATAACATTGTAACTTAAGAAGATATAAGGAAAAGGAGAGAGACAGAACAGGCCTCACAATGAAACATTCCAAGTGATAAAAAGACAATCACTTACCAGACTTTGTGATGCAGGCTGTATTTCATCAGCCCAGAAGAGAAAAACAGATTTCCTGTCCAAAGTCATTACTGATAGTGCATCGGATTCTTGCATGCGACATGGGAGGTTATGGCTCCAAATAGGGAGGCCCGTTTTGCCATCTACCACCACCACCTCAAAGTTGGGAGAGACATATAGTGTGAACAACAACATAGAAATGGGGGGAGAGGGGACTGGTGTGAGTCCTGGGAACTTGCTGCTACAGTCCTATGCTCACACACAGCCTGTCCTCTTTCCTGTACCACCACAGCTTCCCTAAGATTTACCCTTTTTGTACCACTTCTGCTCGGAGCCTGCAGCATGAAGTCCAGGACTTGATCAGCACTGAAGTAACCAGGGGAAGGTTGGCTGCAAATATTAAGAAAACAGTTAGAAGCAAGGCCAGAAAAGGAAGGCTTTCTAAGCAAGAGAGCTCATCTGCCTCTTCCCCTCCCTAATGTTCATCCATCCTCTTATATGCACAGGCTTTGCAGATCAGGCTTTTTAATCTGTCAAGTACACTATCTTGACTAACAACAGCCATTCACCATTGCAACAGAAGAACAAAAAACCACCATGAAAACCACAAAGTTCCCAAGCAATTATTCAAGGCTTAGCCTAAGGCAGTGGGGGATGAGACATTTTTTTACTGGGCCATATGGTAGTCACTCAGTTTATCATCCTGGAGCATGACATTTTATTATTCTTTCCCTAGCATGTATAACCACAATTTATTATTAGTGGTCTGAAAATTACCTTGTCCTTTTAAATATCACTACCAGCTTTAGACTCTTTGACCCCCTCTGGTATTAAATTTCACAAGCTGACTTTACTGACAGAAATAGCACTGGTTGGAAATATATCAACCATTGATCTTTATACTGTGATTCCTTGTTCCCATACTGGAGATCAGATCATGTAAAGTTCTAGTAAAAATGAAATACTTCAGTCTCTAACACTTGTCCATCTAGGGTAGGCCTGACCCCACCTGTAGATTGGCTCTGTGCTACTCATTTGGCCCCTGGGGCCAGATAAGTAACACCCCTGCTCTTGACAGAAAAGTGTTAGAGACTGAACTATTTCACTGAGTTTCAACTATAACCCCACTGACACACCTGATCCAGTGTATGCAGCACCCACCACTCTGGGATGCCGGCCCAAGTAGGCTTTGTGCCTTGGTACCCAGCCCCAAGGAGTGCTGTGGGCAGTGCGGTATAGCATGGGACTAGCCCCAGCAAGCAACCTGCCCCCAAGGCACTGTGTGTGGCAGTCTGAGATCAGACCAAGCAAGTGCCACATGCAGTACATGTTCTGGCCCCGTGTGGGGGGCCAGTCTGGCACAGCATGTTGGGGCAGGACTGGGGACCATATGCGTCACACCATTTGTCTAAGCTATATAATACTATTATTTAAATATCACTCATTATAGGTGAACTCCGGAGTTTTCTTTGCATCCTGATCATTTCTAGCTTCTTGAATTTCAGGTCTGTGCTTCTTAAATTGGCCAAAATTGGACAGAGCGCTCTATATAAGTGCAGACAATTCTTCCCTATTCATTGATTCAGTGAGTTGAAGACAAGAGAGGACCATTAGGGAATCTGAGCTGACCTTTTGCCTATCACAGGCCATACACAACCCGTATGTAGTTCAATAACTTGTCTGACTAAACCTAACTTCCAGAAAAGCATCCACTTTTGATCTGAAGCTATCCAGAGATGGAGAATCCATTGCTTCCCTTGACAGTATGGTCCAGTGGCTAATCTCACTCGCTTCTAGAAATGTATGCCGAATTTCTCATGTGAATGTGTCTGGCTTCCACTAGCACCAGTGCTATCACAGCCGTTTTCAATGGAAGATCTCATATCTTCAAATTTCATTGCAACAAATAGGAAGGAAAGACAATGTTTTTAACCCATGAGCATTGCTTTATACTTATTTAAGACAAATTCTCTGTGTCATAAAACTTCCAATGCATTTAAATTCGTCTGGAGTTTCTTAAAAATTGAAAAATATACACTAGGTGCTATCAATCCACTGACACAACCCCTTCCAACTTCCTCTGTTCCTCTAACTTCCACTATTCCTAGAGACAATATAATATTAGTCCCTCTCCTAAGAAAGTTCCATATACAACCTGGCTTTCTACTGCTTCAACAAGTTCTATTTCATCAAAGCTTGCCCCTTACTCTATGGCTACTGCTTCTCTTTTAAGATTGCATATGGAATCTCAGTGAGCGGTTTGAAAAGCCAAAGAAATGTATATCAAAGAGATTCCTTTTACCAGTGACTGCCTATTGTTAACTTTTTCTAAAGTGGAAAGAGTCTTGCTGACACAAACAATGTTGCTTTGACCCTATCAGGTGAAAGCCAAGTGTTCTACTCTTTTACCATTAAGCTTTGTATACACTTCGATATACAGAGTGCTCTGATTTCAGCCACCAAGAGGGCAGCGCCAGTACAAAAGCCCTCGTGTAAATAGACAAAGCATTACATTTGAGTTTTGTACAAGTGAAGTTTATCCATGCTTCCAATCAGGGTATGCAAGCTTTTGGACTTTTTGGAATATGTAGTTTAGCTTGTCTCTCTTGTACCTGTACAGATGCTGGCAGGTGTAACCAGAACAAATCCCCAGTGAAGACAGATTTTGGCACTGCCATCCTTACACTTGGTACTAAAATAAGGTCACTGGTCTGCAATCTCCAAAATCCACCTTTGCTTCTGTAGCCTAAAAAGTACAGCTTAATGCAGTTGGGATAAACAGTGAAGCCCTAGGACCAATTAGTTTTAGAGATACAGCCTTGACATAAGTAGGATTTAGGCCTGATTGGGCTTGACATGAGCAGATAACTGATATATGAACTTTGTCATATAATTTCACAGAAATTTGCTTAAACGGCATGTTCTATAGGGCAGCTTAGGATATTTTGTCGGAGACTTTAGGAACTGAGGAGGATCAGAGCTGCAGAGTGTATCAACAGGAATACCTGATGTACAATAATGAGACAACCCTATAATTTAGTATTAACTTAAAAATAGAGTACCAGTTTGAGGGTGTTTGCATGCTTTTATATGGTGTAAGTAATGAATACATATAAATGGAGATAGATAGGATGAGTTCTTGAAGGGAAGGTTGAGAAAGCCCGTTGAAAAGATCCTTGGTTGTTTCCTAACTGTCCAACCAACTCCAGCAGCCTTTGAGACAACTGTATATTACAGCAGACACTTGACTGACTATCTTCATAATCCTTTTCTGAAATTTTAATGTTGTTGTTTTTACTCATAATACATTAATGTAGAGGGTATAACTGCCCTCAGCATACTCGCCTCTGGGTTCCTCCTGTCTACTCCAGTCAACCCAAGCTGTTGTCAAGTTGGCAAGCCAACTCAAATGCCAATCTTGCAAGTAATTCTGAGAACAGTGATGTTTTCCTTTTGAAAATTAAGCCCCACAATGGTGACCAGAACAATTTTCACAGGTCTTTTTCACCTCCAGGAATAGGTCCTGGGGTCAGCTGGTGTGATGGATGAAAATCTGATCCACACTACTGATGTTTTACACACTCATATGTTATACTTCCTGGCTGGATCTTTATTGTAGCTTGTGCAGTTTAAGCAGGATTTGCCATTATTACTTTATGCATTTTTAGCCCCAATACATAAGGCTTCATCTTGGTTGTAGGAGTTTTTGGAAATTCCATGACAATAATTCAAGGATTCACAAAGACAGCTAAATAAGCTTCTGAGTGTTTCCCTTCTAGAAAAGACTTCTTTATAGGAGTTATAGCATGGAGGGCCAATGCTCCCATCCTTTCCTGTAAGTCAGCCGTTTCCAAACTGTAGGCCATGCGCTCCTAGGGGTGAACAAGGGGAGGAGCAAAAAGTTCCAGGGGGGCATGTGCACATTATAGCAGCAATCAGTGACACTCCACTACTTCAACCACTCTCATATCCCCTTACTTCAGCTGCTGCTTGCCTTACCAGTGAGGGGACTTGGCAACAATTGGTGACAGGCAGAAGCAGCTGCAGCTGCAGCAGGAGAATGTGAAAGTCCCTTACTTTACTATGGTGGGGAGTAAACCCACCAGGTTTGGGAAACTGCTTATTGGTCAACACGACTGAAATACATCTCTCATGATTCGCTTTGTTCTGAGAGGGGAATCATGGAGTTTCTCCAAGTTCATGGTTTCCATGAGAAAATTGTAGCCATCCTAATAATCTCATGCTGTTCTCTGCTTTACCTTTACTCCTCCTGTTTATACTTTGTATTGACATACTAAAAAAAAAAAGCCAAGTCAGACCTTTAGTGCAGTGGTCTGAAATAGTTCATGGATTGATTATATACTCTAAACATTTTTCCACCCTCACCTTTCAACTCCTATTTATTGGTTTCCCATAGAAAGGTTGAAATCTGCCCTTTTAAAACTCATCATTATATCTTCCATGTAAATGTTAGCATCTGTCAGAATACAGTTTCCCTCACTTTATGTGGGTTCTGTATGTGTGAATTCGCTTTTATGCAATGACCTTTTTTATTCCAAAAATTCATCATATGCGAGGTAAATTCACTTTTATGCGATCAGTGTGGTGGAAGCCTGCAGGCAGCTGCTTTCTGTGCTGTGTTGTGGGAGTGACACGCACCAAAATATAGTCTCCTGTGCGGATCTGTGCTCTTCACGCGTTGTCTGTGACACGTGTTTCTGCAGTTGCCATCCTCATTAGGATAGTGCTCTGTGCTTGTGTGTACTGTCTCCTGTTGGTTAGAACCAAAATTGTCTTGTAAAAGTGGAAGAAATGGGTTCGGGGGGCAGTACAGTCGTGGACTTGGAAAGTATCCCTATTTGTTACATTGTAAAGTGGGTTCCCTTTATGCAAATTCAAGTTATATGCCGTTTTCCAGGAACGCATGTACAGCATAAAGGGAAACCTGTATCAAGCATAACTGTACAAAAATTGTGTTGTATAATGAAGAAACTATGACCTTTTGCCTGTTAGGTTAGTATTGCACTTATGTGCCATTATCTCAGCATCTTATGTATGACAGACTATGTACTGTTTTGAATGCACAGGGATTACTCTGACCCTTTTCACATACAGAGATCCATGTCACACTTGTGATCTAGCTTGTAATTCTTGCTGTTGCACACACTCAGAACAGAATATGACAATTCTTCCATTATTACTTCCATCCATTCTGCCCATCCCATAGCATTAGAACAGGCTGCAACAGCCCCATAGACACATAGCCCTCATTCTCAAGCGTTTCTGCCATCTTAAGGAATTATTCCTGATGACTGTGAAGGGTGGGAATGATGTGCAGGTCCCACAGTGAGGGAGAAAGAGAGAGAGAGAGAAAACTCTAGCTGTGTAACCTGTGAATATCCTGAATCTCCAAGCTCCACTGGGGTTCTAGGTCCTGTCCCTGTAGTAAAGTCAGGCCATGCTTGGTGGTGATGAGAAGGTTGCTGCAGTTGCTGTCTGAAGCCTTCACTGTTTGTAGAAACTCAACACCCCCGCTACAAGAGACAGAAAACAAACACAAGCCCATTGCACAGGTTCTATCTATTAATTTACATACAAATTCAGTGTAATCTGTAGAAGATTTTGTTTTAGATCTTTTCTGTGACTGAATTCCCACTTTGCCTCCCAATCTAAATTGAGACCTGCTGTTTTTCTGTATCCTCAGCCATGTTAAGAGGTTTCCCAGGTCCTGCCAATGGATGCATTCAACTCACCTTTCTGGGAGTTAGGTTAGAGACCAACAGATGCCCTAAGACCCTTGGCCAAACTGCTGGGCCCAAACAGAGCTCTTAAAAGGGACTCCTATTTATCTAGAAATGCTGCTTTTCTCCCCATGCATGTATACACAAAGGCAGATGGGGGTGTAAGAACAGGACATGGGCTTAGAGAAACAAGCAGTTCCATTTATAAACATGGCACTTCTCCCACTGGTCACTCACTGCAGGAGTAACTGTCATGGACATCACCCTGGTGACTTTGAAGAAGAACGATATTGAAGTGGAAGTGGCAATCTTTGGAAGATCAGGAAGATTCTTTCCCTCTTCCCCCTCCAACTTATCCAGAATGATTAGGCCATGTCCTACCTGTAAATGTCAATGAGCTCTGACAAGTTGACTGATCTGTGCTTCTCCCACTCTGGCTCTTCCTGTTGCAGCACTTGTGGGAAGATGTCATGGATTCTGGCCTGGGCAAAGATATCCCTCAGCGAAACTGCTTGGACATTACCTAGGAGGTAAGTAACAGATGAGGCAAAGATTGAGATTCCTGATCTCAGTTAGGGGCCAATTAGAGTCCCAGCAGTGTGAGAGACAGCATGCAGGGATGGTGGGGGATATTTTCCCAGGAGATGTGCTGCTAGAACACTAGTGGCTTGGGAAGCTCCAAGTGAGTCCTGTCCAAGCAAGAATCATTGCTCCCAATCTCCTTTCCACATTTGCTATACACAGCTCCCATCTTCTACAACTCCATCCTTTCCCAGAGAGAGACAGGAGCATGCTCTTAACTATTTCAGTTTTAACATGTCTTAAGAGAGAGATCAAAAAGAAGTGGAAAAGGCCAGTGATTCTAACTTACCAAAGCCAAACAGGATGTAAATGGCTCCTTGCCTGGTGATGTGGGCTTGGGGACCAATTAGTTTTCCTTCTCCATTTATGCTGTACTTCACAGGCCCACCTAGAGGGTTTCCAGTCTTTCCAGACAACAAGATAAAGCACAGGTCAGGCTGCAAAGGGAAGAGATGCAGAAATTCTGATGGTTGACTCATGGACAATAAGAAGCAATGAAATGTAGCAGCATCTTTGATGTGATAAATCATTTGGTATCTCCTTTCTCCTACTCTCCTCTGTTCAGAAGCCTTTGTGAAATGAGCTGGCAGCCCTAATGCAGTTCTTTATATTGAGATGTCCACATCACAAACTCTAACCATCATACTAAGCACCTCCAGTATACAAATGGACTTTGAAAATTGACTTCTCTCAACCTTAAAGACAGTGTATCATAAATCACTGGGGCATGTTTACACAGAAGTGGCAGAGTGTTCAATCTCACCCCTGAGGGAATATACCCCCACCCTTGCTTTGTGTCTGACAACCCGGGAAATAAGGGGCTAAAGACAGTTTAGGGGTGCCTCAAGCCACCACAAATTAAATATGTTAGGAGCACAAGTCTTTTGTGAGATGCGAGGAATGCCCTCAGGGCATTCTCACTGCCTTATTTCCAGAGTTGGCATGCCATGAGAAGGAGTGGATGGCTGGAGCACCTGTGGTTGTATAAGCATATCCAGGGAAGAAGCACAGGGAAGTCTGCAACATTATTACCATACCTGTGCTTCTCTTCTGTGGGAGAACAGGCATATCGTTCTCCAGGGATCTCAGACCAGCATCTTTCCCTTGTGTAAAAATTCATTTTCAAAACAAAAGTCATTATTGCTAATGGGAGAAGCACAGAACAGAGAGCAATTCACAAGACTTAGCCAGTGAACAATGATTCATTTGACAATTATCTTAATTATTTCTTCAATAAAAGACATAGGCAATGCAATTATTGTTTGATCTCATTATCCTCCTAAGCCAGAGAAGGATGCCAGGTGTATACCTGGGGGGAATCTATTTGGACTGGGGGTCTTTTGTCATTCTCCAACTACACTGCCTTTAAATCATGCTAGCTGTTTGCCAAAAATTAAGCTCCTTCCAGACCTCTACTGGTGATATATTGTACCTGCGTCTCCCCAATGGCCAGGACTACCAGATCTCCAATCCCATCTCCATCCACATCCGGTAGCGTAACAGCTGGTGCAGCCAGAGTCCCACTTGGCAGGTGGTCAGGGTTTAGCCTCCAGATGGTTTTTCCTTTGGGAGAACACAAGTGAGCACAACAGCATTTCACAACAGCAAGATTAACAGGAGACCCCTAGGAATTCAACAAAGTGTTCCTGAAGTATGAAGACAGGGAAAGTCACTTTTCCCCAACAACCTAACTAACACAACCTAGAGGAGGTTGAGACTTTCCCCCTGAGTATTTTCCCCTTTGTTTCTTCATATAGGCTTTGAGTCTCAACCTGCCAATGCTTTCCATCCCCCACCCTGGGGATTTATCTATAAAGAACTGTTGACTGCAACTCTTACTGAAGTAGAGGGGTATTTTCAGGATCATTTCTTGGGGTCAAATCATAAATAAGAGTAAAGCTCTACATGACATGAACTGTTCTAACTGGCCAGCAGCAACGCTTGTTTGCTGATGGGACAACCATGAAGAAAACTCCTGGGAAATGGAACAGATGGGACATGATTTTTAAAAGGACAGACCCTGAAAATGGGAATCTGTGTGTCAGTTCATTTTCCAGCAGGAAACAGCTACTCTCATGCTCTTTCCATTTGGGGGATAAAAATATGTTAGCAGAATTAATTTTAAACATGCTTTGTCAGTCTACTGACCAACTATATTTATTGATATAGGAGTCTGGTAAAAATACAATTTACAACCTTTCAAATTTTAAAAGAAAATCACTCTCAAAGTAATTCCAGCTCCTTTACTTCCTGCACCCTCACTATCCCACTCCAGCCCTGCCACACACACATGCCAAAGACTATGTGTTTACAAGCACACTTAAAATTCCCCTTCTGCTGTGTGGAAGCCTGAGCCTTTCTACATAATACAGAAAAGCAAGGGGTAGACCTACAAACACTTAAACTCGTGAGAAATGCTACTCATGTGAGTAGTCCCACTAAGTTCAGAAAGCCGCTTCTTTGCCTTGGTCTTGCACACATGCATGTGAAGTGCCATTAAAATTAATTCACTATAAATATTTGAAAGTTGAGTGGTATTGGTTAGCTTCTAGTGGACAGAGATCTCCTGTGACAGTTTTCTCTTCCTTAGTTAGCACTAAGATTTCATTGAAAATTTCCATGTATTTTAATTCAAATTTCAAGAATACTTTCTGATCTTTGCCTATAATTCACTGTTTATGTTAACATTCCCACTAATAAAATTTACTTGCTCAGATAATCACAGGGAACAAACCCCAGAGGGATGTGAACAAAATCAAAGTGATTCCAGATGCAATATTCATTTAGATCAAGTAAGCGCTACAGACTTCAATTCTCCTGAGGATTTAACTGGCTACAGTAGACTTCCTCACCTCTTTCCCCAGAACTATTGTGTAGTGTTTCTGTATGCAGAAAACCAGCTATGAAAATTTCACTATATAGGTGGATATGTTTCAGTGGTTGATAAAGTGACAATTAGCATATCCTTACATCTATTTCACAGAGATATTGTAGAGGTACATTAAAGTCTTAAAGCTCTTTGGCAATGCTGGATCAAGGAATTGCTATCAATATGTGAAGGATTAGATTATGTTATTCTTTGTTGCCTGAATTCACTGGTGATTAGATTATCTTCTGGGTTACTCTACAGTGGGCTTTTCACCATGTTACTACCATGAAGCACTGTGGCTGCATTACTCAGGGTGATCGGTTTATCCATATGTTCACATCAGGATATCTACCTGTGGAAGCATTGAGAAGGCTGAGGAATTTAGATGTTCCAGTCACCAAGCAGACTGGCTCTACTGTGGCCATGTGAGTCAGTCCTTTGCAGTGTACACTCCGAGTGTCCTCTGGAATGTGGATGGACCACAACGTGCTTCCATTCATGCCTGAAAGGGCCACTACAGTTACCGAGGGCCTGGAGACACCTGAAAACATAGAGGGGAGGCAGTAAAAGTGCTTTAGTTATCTAATAAAGGAATGGCCAAATAGAAAAAACAAATCAGTCTTCAGGGGATAGGCTGCTACTCTGCAGTGGTCCAGAGTAGAAAAGAAAGTCACTGGATCCACAAGAACCCCATAAGATTGGGAATTTCAATCCTCAGTTAGCTGATGGAAATGGAATTGGCAGGCAGCTGGTGCGGAGGGGACCTGAAATTATGGCTCTCTGGGTGGTTGGCAAAGCAACAAAATTGTTTCCATACCTGAGCGAACTACATCGCTCCTTTCAATTCATAACCCTCTGTGCTTTCATACCAGATTACCGGTTAAATAATCGGTCTTTCAGAACCTTCATCCTGTTGCTGGAAATTGTAAACCATCCACAAAGAACCAAATAATTATTCAGAGGGTCCTACACGTGCTGCAATTCTGAAGGAGCAAAATTGTGCACTACACTCTAAGCTTTTTGAATTTGTATGTGAAAGTCTGAAGTGCATGTGAACCAGTGCACTATCTTCCTGAGTTTCAAAACAGTGAAACATAACCATTACATGAATGCAAAGTGCATGAAGTTGCTTTAACAGGATGTAAGCTCTGACTTCTAACAATGCCAAATTTAATGTAACCCGATATGAGACATCATTTCAACATAAGGTGGGAATGAACTACTTGGGCCATCAAGTCCAGTCCCCTACAGCCACAGGGAATGCTGAAAACCAACATCCAGCTAATGTGCTTATCCTGTGGCCTCAGATGAAGTTCTCTGAAAATTCCCTGAAAGATCCCTATTCACTTCTATTCATTGGTAAAACACCCAATCTTCCCCAAACTTGTGGAGTCAATACAAAAATCTCCAATGTATAACATGATAATGTGGGTACAATGTAAATTAAGCAAAATTTAATTTAATAGATTTCATAGACATTAGGGCTGGAAGGGACCTCGGAAGATCATCGAGTCCAGCCCCCTGCCCAAAGGGCAGGAAGTCAGCTGGGGTCATAGGATCCCAGCAAGATAAGCATCCAGTTTGCTCTTGAAGGTGTTCAGTGTAGGCGCTTGAACCACCTCCGATGGCAGGCTGTTCCAGACCTTGGGGGCTTGGACAGTAAAGAAATTCTTCCTTATGTCCAGCCTGAAACGGTCTTGTAATAGTTTATGACCATTCAACCTAGTTGTCATCCCTTGGGGTGCTCTGGTGAACAAACGTTCCCCCAGATACTGGTGGTCACCCCTGATAAACTTATAGGTGGCCATCAGATCACCCCTGAGCCTGCGCTTTTCCAGGCTAAAGAGCCCCAGGGCTCTCAGCCTGTCATCATAGGGTCTGCTTCCCTGACCTCTCATCATGTGTGTGGCTCTTCTCTGGACTCTCTCAAGCTTCTCCACATCATTTTTGAATTGTGGAGCCCAAAACTGGACGCAGTACTCCAGCTGCGGCCTCACCAAGGCCGAGTACAAGGGGAGAATGACGTCCTGGGATTTGCTTGAGAAGCATCTATGGATGCAAGCCAGCATTTTG